CCCCATCCAGGCTCAGTTTTTAAAGAGAAAACACCCCGCAGCCACATTTCTGACTGGAGTGAGGCAAGCGGGGAGCCTCCTGGGACTCCCCTCAGCATCCACGGGCCAGATTCAGCCCACGGCTGGATTTTTCCTGAGCTTGCAATATAGCATGGACTAGCTAAATACACTTTGTATATTTTAAGTTCTATAAAATACTAGATGGAACAGGCTCAGTTTTTAAAGAGAAAACACCCCGCAGCCACATTTCTGACTGGAGTGAGGCAAGCGGGGAGCCTCCTGGGACTCCCCTCAGCATCCACGGGCCAGATTCAGCCCACGGCTGGATTTTTCCTGAGCTTGCAATATAGCATGGACTAGCTAAATACACTTTGTATATTTTAAGTTCTATAAAATACTAGATGGAAAAACTGTTCAAGCCAGCTACCAAGCTGTGGGTCTATTTGTTGTACAATGAAATCTTTGTTATCCGGCATTCTCTTAACCAGAAAACTTTATTAACCAGCATGGCCCCCAGCCACAATCCTGTCACATCTTCAGGCGCACAGGCCTGGCTTGGTTTACCATGATTGGCTTAACCATTTTTTATTTAAGAAGTTCTAATCATCTTTAACTCCAAATAGAAATGTGAGACCAACTGCCTCACACTACAAAACTACCAATATTAAAAACTTGAGTTTTACTATTGTCCATTGGGTTGATGAGACCCTCAGATAACCAGAATGCCCTAATCCCCGAGTGTGCCAGATAACACAGGTTTTACTGTATTTTATTGCTGGTTCTTTGCTATGCTCTCAGACCATTTCTTTTATGAAACATCCAGAGAAAGAGTCTCTACTTTTATTTTTCCATAGTAAGCCACATGTGGAATCTTATTTTAATCTGGGACATAAATCCCTAAGGAGTGGCTTGACATGAAAAATCCACAGACAAGAGTATCTGGTCTTGATACCACTAACCGTAAAAGAAACCCCTAAATATTGGCAGCACAATACAGATTCCAATGAAACCACTGACCTATCCACACTGGGTTTGCAAAACATTTATGAAATATTCTGTAAGCATCTAATTCTTCCATGATATCACATAGAATGTCTCAGAGGGGTATCCGTGTTAGTCTGTAAGGGCATGGCTACACTAGGAAATTATTTCAAAATAACTACATTCAAAATAATAGCTCCTGAAATAGCATGTCCCCACAACGGGGGAGCATTGAAGTTGTCAGAATTATTTTGAAATAGCATGTTCACACTGATTGGAACCTGTCTTGGACTTAGAGCCTCCAGAAGTGCTCTGGGGAGAGCATCAGAAGGATGGACAATCCTGTGGCTGCTTGATCAGGCAAACTGCGATGCACGCTTTCAGGGGCTCCTCTCTACAGCCGTTTCTCACACACTCCTCCACGGCCCTCCCCCCATGAGACACAAAACAGACACAGTGTGCTCTGGCTGCCCTTGCAGATGCCACAGCACTCCAAGCACAGAGCCAGAGCTGCTGTAAAGCACTGCCAGTCACATGGGCCTCGTGCTGTCCCTCATGGTGCAGTACTTCCAGAAGGACAAGAACCAGCCCAGACCACAGGCCCTGATCACCCAGGTCCTGGAACTCTGGCTGCTGCAAAGGCCCCTCAGTCCCCCTGGACACTCTGGAACACCACTTCTGGTGAAGGGAGACCAGTTCGGACTGGTGGGATCTCATAATTGTGCAGCTATGGGTTGATCAGCAGTGGCTGCAGAACTTCTGCATGTGGAAGGCCACCTTCCTTGTGCTCTGCAAGTGGCTCACTCCTGCTCTCAGGCAACAGGACACCCGACTGAGACCTGTCATTCCAATGCAGAAGTGTGTCACCATTGCCCTGTGGTGCCAGATAGCTGATGCTCCATCAGGAACCAATTCCATGTGGGGAAATCCACCATCGGGGCTGTGCTCATATAAGTAGTGAAGGCCATCAATCACGTGCTGCTACAGAGGGTCATCACTCTGGGAAACATGGACACCATCATGGATGACTTTGCTGCCGTGGCTTCCCCAACTGTGAGGGGGGGGGGAGGGGTCCATAGATGACACACACAGCCTCATCCTGGTCCCAGACCACAGTGCCTCAGACTTCATCAAAAGAAAGGAATCCTTCTCCATGGTGCTGCAGGCCCACGTGAATCACAAGAGATGCTTCGCCAACATCAACATAAGGCACGTGACAACAAGAGATGCTTCGCCAACATCAACATAAGGCACATGACACCCGCATCTTCCGGAACTCCTGCCTGTTCTGAAAGATGCACACCGGCACTTCTTTCCCTGACTGAACCGTCAGAGTTGGAGAGGTGAACATGCCCATTGTAATCCTGGGTAACGCAGCCTACTCCTTGCTCCCGTGATTCGTGAAGGCCTCCCAATGAGTACATCTATCCTGGGTAACGCAGCCTACTCCTTGCTCCCCTGGTTCGTGAAGGCTTCCCAATAAGTACATCTACGCCAGGCTGAACTAGCGCTGCATGGTCGTGTGTAGGCTTTTTGCCATTAAAAGGGGAGGTACAGGAGTCTCCTCACCTGTCTAGACCTCAGTGAATGCAACATCCCCTTTGTGGTGGTGGACAGTTGTGTGCTGCTGCACAGCCTGTGTGAGAGCGAGGAGGAGACTTTTCTGCCAGGGTGGGGCAGAGGCTGAATGGCTGGCCAGAGCATACAAGTAGCTGGCACCAGCACCAGATGGAGAGAACATCAATGGGCTGTGCTCATCAGGGAGGCCTTGAGGGACAGTTTCATCCAAGGCCTGTTGTAAGACACTCTCCCCTGTGTCTCTCCATAAAAGGCCCCTGCATTTCACCTTTCCTCCCATACCCCTACCCTGCAGAGCAAAGAAGAAAGCTGCATTTCACCTTTCCTCCCATACCCCTCCCCTGCAGAGCAAAGAATAAAACTTTTTTTCTTGACACAATAGGACTACTTATTGTGGGGCATATACAGCAATGTAGGGACTGGGGAAAGAACCTGGAATGGGAGGGGGAGAAGGGGAGCTCAGGGTTGGGGCTGGGACTGGCTTCAACTGCCCAAGAGCTCCTAGCAATTACCACATGTTCTGGGGCCCCAGTGGCCCTTTGAGGGATTATGAAGGAAAACCATGGGGGTGGTGGGGAGGTGGCTGGTGGCACGCTCAATGCACAAGACCATGTGTTCCATCACCAAGGTAAGGGAGGAGCACATGGCCTTGTGCTGGTGAGACAGCTGGTCCCAGGTGGCCTTTCTCTGCTCCTGGTCAGTGGCCTGCTCCAGGCGCTCCTCTTCGAGCCTCCGGACAAGGGACTGCAGGCAGGCCATCTACTCCCACAGCAGGTCCTCACAGGTTCTCTTCCTTCTGCGGAGTCAGGTAGATGAATGCTGGGGGATGTGCCAAGCTCACAGCTGGCCCAGCTGTGAAGAAAAGTGACAAGGGCAGTCATCCCAGGAGACACTGTGTATGAAGCCTAGCCCTAATCTCTGAGCCGAAATTGAAGGTCTCAGTTCAGAGGATGGCGATGTGCTTTGAGCAAGTCTGCCCAATGCCTATGCAGAGGGCAATTTCCTGCAGGGGCACAAATATCCCATGGGAGCTTCGCTACACCCACTACCCAGGGACAAGCAGACATGGGAAGGTTCCAGCCAGGCCGGGAGCCTACAGGTGGGAGGGAGAAGTGGGACAGCTCGGCTTCCTCTTGTGTCCCACACAGGGTAGGTCTGGCACTAGTGGCGTCCTGCAGCGAGGGAGTTTCTATCCCTGCCTGCTGGAGGAGGGGGTGGGTGTTAGGGGAGGTGTGTGAGCGGCAGAGTCTGCTTGCCAGAGAGAGTGCTACTGGGTTCCCCTCTTCTTCCCCTGGGCAGGTTCTCATGCAAGGAATCAGTCTCTGCATCACCGATCAGGAGCAGATGCTGCCTGAGTGCAGGCATGACCCTTTGCCACGTGTGTCATGGAGCTGAGTACTCTGGACTGGCGCTCCATGTGCACCCATACACAGAGACTGTTGTATGACTTCAAGTAGGCTGAGCGAGGAGTGTGCAGCTCCTCACAGCCCATCATCTGCCCCTGGGTGTAGATAAAAAAGTTTTAGAACTCACCTGAAGTGCCTCCCCTCGTTTGAGTCCTGGGAGACCTCCTTAGTGGTGCGGGGAAGAAGGGAGGGACTGGCTCCAGGATGAGGATCAGGTCCTGGCTGGTGGGCCTGATTGCCTGGCTGGCCACCACCTTCTCCTCCACAATCCTGCTCTTCTGGAGGCTGATGCCGGGTGTGTCCTGGCTGAACTCGATAATGACAGGAAAGGAGGTGACCATCCCCTCTCCTAGGATGGCATCCAGCTATTTGAAGCGGCAGCAGCAGCAGCTGTGTGTTGCCACTCTGGAGCATCAGCTCTGCTCCCTGGCCTTGTGGTAGGCCTGCTGGAGCTCCTTTACCTTCATGTGAACATGGTTGTGGCCTGTGTCGGCCAGGCTGGCAGCGATGAGGCCATAAACCTCCACATTCCTCTTCCTGGTGTGGAGATCCTTGAGGCTGGTCTCCTTCCCCTCTTCCTTCCCCCAGACCTCAATGAGGTCCAGGATCTCTGCACCAGTCCAGGCCGTAGCTCTCCTGCATCCCTGTGTAGTGGCAGCGGAGGGAGCAGCAGAGGCGCTGGCAGCCATGAGAAGCTCTGAGAGCATGTTGGGACAGCTGGCCATGTGGCACAAGCCCTTCTCTTGCAGCCTGGAGTTTTAAGTTCCACAGGAGAAATGGAGCAGTGGAGATGCCTGGTGGGGTCAGAAGGGCAGCTACGAGAGGCTTCTGGAGGCCAATTATTTTGAATAAGGAGCATCAGATCGTCCACATTAGCGCTATTTTGAAATAGAATTTTGAAATCAGCGTGGTTCCCCAAGGAAAGCAGGAGCACAGATTTCAAAATAACCAACCTGTTAATTTTGGCTGGGTAGTGTGGATGCTCCGCTCACTATTTTGAAATAAGGGAGGTTCTTTTCAGATAATCCTGCTCTACACTAGGGAGTTAAGTTTAAAAACCATGAGCAGTCCTATGGCACCTTAGAGACTAACAAGTGTATTAGAAGGGCATCTGTGTGCATTATGGCACGTATGGCGTATCTCTTAAGCATTTGGATCAAGGCAAACGATAGTTATTCTTACCATTGAATTGCTTTGCTTTTGACAGTGTATAAAATATGACACAATACTTCCTATTTTAACTTCCTTTCTGTGTGTATTAGAATGAAAACAGCCTAGTATTCTCTCCATTGTGTTTATGTACTGCTTCACGAAATATCCCATGTACCTTTTGTAATCTGTAGGTTTATTTCCATAAATAACTTCATAGGATAGGATGTCAGCCTGCACATTATTAAATTCTTCTTTTCGATTATCCCTTTCAGCATCATTCTTGTCAATAAGCCGATTGATGTATTGTTGTGCCTCAGGTACATCACAATATAAAGTGTGAACCTAGTATGAATTAAAAATTGGATTTTTTAAAAAAATTCCTTAAATTTGGAGCAGTTATTTGCCATTTTTGTGATGCAATTTTCTGCCCTCCAGTGTGTGTGTGTGTGTGTGTGTGGTGTTTTTTTTTTCCCCACGCAGTTAATCTCTCAGTAGGCAAAATTGGTAATGAAAATAATAACAATGAAAGACAAATTGCACTCATGGGGTAGTCATTTTCCCTAGGAGTTACTATTTACCACAGTGAATTTCAGTGGGATTTAAGTGCCTTACCAGACCATTTGCTAATGGGGTAGACTAACAAAACATGTAGATGGTATCATGAGCTTTCATGGGCACAGCCCACTTCTTTGTGCCCACGAAAGCTCATACCACCATCTACACGTTTTGTTAGTCTATAAAGTGCTACCAGACCATTTGCTTGCTGTGTGGTTTTTTTTTTTTTTTCCTGTAACAGACTAACTTGGCTTACGTCATTAGGCTCCTTTGAAAATTTCAGGTGTAACCATTACATAGAGCCATACATTTACAAACACACATCCAGCATAACTTTCTTATTTTTATCTTAAAAAAACAAAAACTTTAGTAGATTTTTATATTTTCTAGTCTTGCTGGAGCACACAAAATCTACTAGGCTGGGCCCCCCTAGGCTCTGGTGTGTGAGGGAAATGTGGGGAGTGTCTTTCTCCTTCTCAGTTAGGGGCCATACCACGTAAGTGAGTTTTTTTTTTTTTTTTTTTGTGCTTCTCTCTTGTATTCAGCCCCTGATGGATTGGGGACCAAAAGAGGTTCCCCACCCCCTCTTAGGAAACCCAATACATATTTTCCAGGGGTCTAATTAATATTTACCTTGCTCACAAGAGTTTTCATTAATGTTGTAACTGTGATTTGAGGCTTCATTGTTTTATGTTCACTCTCACTTTGTAAAAGTTCAGTCACCTCTCTCTCTCGTTTGTATAAGGACTGCTTTGCCACTTCCAGCGTGGCCTGTGCTTTCCACAGAAGCTCTTTTTGCAGCACATGTTCATGTTCCTCCACCTGGTCCACTACCTGAAATGTAGCAAAGCATAATTCACATTCCTATTCTAGCCCGAAGTAGTATCTGGCCTAACAGTGCAGAATCTTCATGATAGTAATGGAAAAGATGGAGCAAAAATAGAAAAAAGCAGCAGTGGTCATTAGAAATAAAAATGTTGGTTTTTATCATACAGAATTTGGAGTTGTAATTTAGAATAGCAAACTGCAGAAGATGTTTGTAATAAGCCTTATGCTGTCCAAAATTAAAGAGGGCAAAATGAGTAATATTAATGGAGATGATGTGGACTTTAGAAATCACATGAAATCCAGGGTATAAATGTTTTTAAAGCCATAATAATGGAAAATACAGTGTTTCCTTTAATTTTAGAAATAGCTTAGAAAAGTAATCATTATGGCATTTATAAAATGTCTGCCTCTCATCATGCTTTGTTATTCCGCAATATAACTGAGGCATCAAAGTTCTAATGTGTATTTTTTTATTAATGAAACAGAGCATAAGTAAACTACAAAAATATGCAGAAATATATGATTAGTAAGTTATAAATGCATAAGTAAACTACAAAAATATGCAGAAATATGATTAGTAAGTTATAAATAAAGTAAATTTGACAGCACTATCCTAAAAAGATTTGTGTTAAAAATCCACTGTGCCTACATTATAGAAATATATCAGTTGGTATAAGAAACAATAAACAAACATTCTGCAATTGAGTCAGGCAAGAAATATTATAAATAAGTCTGTGTAGAGCTCAAATAATATTCAATTCTATTAATTTTTCATGCATTGTAACATGAATTAACAAGATCTTTAAGTTACATTTATCTATATCTTAGAGGTTTTTATAATTGTTACACTGCAGTTTATAAAGCTGTAAATCAGGTATGACACTGTTAAATGAAGTTGAGTTAATCTATAGTCTGCTAATCATGCTATCAACCATCTATATTAAATAGCATTATCCTCAGATCACATGAATTGAATATAATGCACTTCAAAAAAGTGATTTAAAAAAATTAATTCAAGGTAATATTCTGAAGGTGTTTCTCACCATCAGAAAGATTTTAAATTGGCAGTGAACATAATTTCGAAATAGTTAAATGTGGATAATGGAAAGGTTTAGGAATTTGTAATGGTAAAAATCATTTTAATCCTAGGTCATTGATTCAAACCAACACCATGCTGGTCATGCATGAAAGCAGCTACCCTTCATCCAGTGGCTGTTCAGAGACTTATATAAATAGAAACTGTGGTAACTGTTCAGTTACCACATATTAGTCATATATTAGGAATTTGCACTCTGTCAGGCTTAACAACCAGCAAGAACTGAATGGACCATAAAGGTTGAACTACCATTTCTTTCCTAGAAGGGGTCATCAGGCCAATGTTGTGGTGGGTGGGAACTACATGCCTCTGCCGACAGAGGCATGTAAATAAACTAGGCTACCCAACATAGTCAAAGAAGCCGGGATTTATATATCCCCGGCTTCATTAAAATAAACATGGCTGTCGCGCTGTGCCTGCTCAGCTGATCATCGGCACAGCGCGGCGGCCATTTTTATTTTAATGAATCCGGGGATATTTAAATCCTGGTTTCATTGACTATGTCAGTTAGACTAATTTACATGCCTCTGGTGACAGAGGCATGTAGTCTAGACATACCCTTAATGCTTATGCTGTATCTCTTCTGTGGATTTGGGGGACTTCAGTCAAAAAGCCAGCCAGCCCTGGATTCATTTTTTTTTCAACCACAGAGGAAGAGTGAGTTGCATTTCACCCTCTGTGATATTGTACAGCAGATTATACAGTAAGTGTTGTTATGTCTGACTCATAGCTTTATGTGATTTATAACAGAACATGTGTATATGAAAAAACATTGTAAATAGTCTGTTACCATGATTGTGCTTTCCACAAAAGACTTAGAACTCAAAATCGATTTTGTACACTGTGGCTCTGGTACTTTGATGGTACTTTTTATTTAACTTTTTCTCCACAAATCCTATTTTCTAGAAAAGGAATCCCAAAATAGCTATCCCACATCTTAACAGCAAGCCCGTTATTTCAAAATATAACTGGCTCACTATTCTGATGTCCCTGTAAACCTCATTCAATTAGGAATAAAGGACATTGCAGTATAGTGGTTATTTTGAAATTTGGCGCTATATAGACAGCGCCAAATTTCTAAATAAGCTATTTCAAAATTGACTCAAAATAAGTTACGCAATTTGCATAGCTCAAACTGCGTAGCTTATTTCAAGCTATGGGTGCAGTGTTGATGCACCCTAAGAGAACATGAGGTTGCAAGGTCAAGCACTCAAAAGTTAGGCAATCCCAGAATTAGGTTACTTATGCAACCTTTATTTACCCTGACATCAATCCCTGCTCCAAAGAACAAAGCACTAAATCTTCTTGATGAAACAATTTAAGAACATTTTGTTTGAACGTGAGGAAAACTGCATTTTCTCTTAATCTCATTGTTACAGTTTTCCTCCCTCTCGGGAGGAAACTCTCACCGGGTGACGCCCTACCCCAACAGTTAACCTGTAGTCCACAGTGTCCAACAGTCTTTTCCAAGTCACTTCAACTAATCTACTGCTGCCCGTGCGTAGGGAGGGAAGGGAGACCTGGGCCCACCCTCTCTTTAGGTCTCAGCCTAGGACCCTGAGAACAGGGATGACAGCCTCCTGTTCGGTCGGTGGGGATGTCCCGTAACTCACCAACCCACGGGCCACTTCTCAGCCCCATCCTGGGCGCCTTCCTCCTCCTGGATGACAGCCTCCTGTTCGGTCGGTGGGGATATCCCGTAACTCACCAACCCACGGGCCACTTTTCAGCCTCATCCTGGGCTCCTTCCTCCTCTCCTGGGCCGTGTCCACACTCAGGGGTTCTTTTGAAAAAAGTACCCTTTTTTCGAAAGAACTTCCCCTGCGTCCAGACTCAAGCCGCGTTCTTTCGAAATTAAATCGAAAGAACGCGGCTTTTCTTTCGACGGCGGTAAACCTCGTTTCACGAGGAAGAACGCCTTTTTCGAGGGAGATCCGTCGAAAGAACGTGAGTCTGGACGGGGGGAGCCCTTTCTTTCGAAATTATTGGCCTCCAGGAACAAGCCCTGGTGGACAATCTGGGCCATGG